CCACAAGGCAGTGCAAGAGCATCGTGAGCAGATGCAGTCCCATGGTAGCCGGTGACCAACCATTGATTCACACGCCATTTGTCCCCTCAGCATACTGGATACTGCAGCCAGTCCATGTGCATCATTGCTTTGGAATCAGGCTTTTTCAACTACCCTAGGTGGACTCGCCGTGTCCACCAACCCGGTTAAAGTGCCGTACATTGGATTTTCGTCCTCTCAATTTTGTAAACAACAGTAATGCCAGTACGAGAAGGCAGTGAGTAGGACTTCCCTGTCACGTGGCCATGTGAGAGCATTTGGAGAAGGAGAGAGGACTCTCCCCACTCTCCGTCGTACCAGAGTACTTGGGGCAGATATATCTATATCGGAGAGTTAATTTACACTTTAGGATTCGAACCCAAGTACATTAATTTCAAATGCCAGTATCACATGTTAATAATTTGGAATACAATTTCAAGAAAATCTGTTCATTAGATGAAATTTTATCTACTTTATAACTAAAATCTATGTTTAAATGATGAAATAGACCTTCTTCTTCTTCATAAAGTATTAATAATTATATCTGATTGATAGCATGAGTTCATTGAAGCTAGACCACCAAGGAAATCCTGGAGGCACTGGATGGCCGTTTCTTCCCATTGTGGGACTCCTCAGCAATGCGCATCCACGATCCCGCACTCGCGAGATTTGAACCTAGGACCTACCACTCGCGCGCCAGAGCACTTCCAGGTTTTCCCTGGTAGTCTAGCTTTAATTGACTCACGCTTTCAACTATGAAAATACTAAATCTCCACAATACCCCTTCTGATAATTATCATACCCTCATCAGTGATTTGTTTCATTGAGAAAGTTTTAACACTAAGCTTTAAACAATGAGGTTAGTAACGAAAACATTAAGTCAGTAACTTATAAGTGATATTTATTCAGAGAATCCCACAATAGGATGAAACGGGTGTCCAGTGCTTCCAGGTTTTACATGATATTCTAGATTCAATTGACTCATGATTTCAACTATAGAAAAGGAATTTGTTACAATTTGTAAACATATTAATGATTTAATTTAAACTTGTTGATTTACGTAGTATCGTTTGTTTGAATCTGGGTTCGAGTCCTAGAGTAAACATCAGCTCTGAGATGCAGGTACATCCAGCTGACGAGTCGCAAATAGGACGAAACGCGCGCTCTGGATACTATTGCTAGCCACTATCCATCTTTGATTACAATTGCTGATTTACATTTCTATTCTATGCAATGAAACTTAAGTTTCTGATCTTAACCCTATTTTCATTGATAGATGCATACTACTGAATAACTATCAAATATAGTAGTGAAAAACATTCTAGTTGATACTGATTTATAGCAAGCATAAGTAATTTCAATTTAGTGGTAATATCCCCTATTGCGATAATACTGGGAAACAATCATGTATATCTCAACGGAACACCACAATACCTGATGACCGAAGTCAAACTGTAATGATGAATATGAATTAACATGAGATCTAGGTGCAAAGCTATCTATCTATTCAGTTCAACCATTTTAAATGTGATCATTTGGAACATAATCGGTGAAATTCGATGTATATATATATCCGAATCCGCAACACAGTTCCTAAAGATGAATTTAAGTAGTATTAAACTCTGAGAAAACAAATTCGTCGAAAGTTTATAGAATCCATGATATAACTATCAATATTCATTTACAGCTTTAGGGTTCTTATTAACTCATAATACCTACCAAGCTGAAAACAGAAATAAAAATCTTTGCTTGAAGAGTAATAATCCTCTACATCTTCACAAGTTACATTAGGTTCATGGAATTGTTACTTACTTACTTACTTACTTACTTACTTACTTACTTACTTACTTACTTACGCCTGTTACCCCTCGTTTAGGAGCATAGTCCGCTCACCAGCATTCTCCATCCAACTCTGTCCTGGACAATCCTTTCCAGTTTGGAAATTTGGAATTGTAATGATCTACAATTAGTTATTATATATCAAAATGAATAGAAACTTATGCCAATACTCACTCAATCATTTTCTTCGAGAATTCTTTAGGAGGAAAGTGGGTATGAATATCCTCATAGATGATCCCACATAAAGACTCTCACAATTCTTATAAGGGGACTCATTATAATGTTTACAAGATAAAATTTTACAACAAAGTTGATATTTTGTTACTTAATTACGCCTGTTCACCTTCGTAAAATAGCATAGGCCACCCACTAGCACTTTCCATCCAACCTTGTCATGGGCAATAATTTCCAATTTCTTTCAGTTGCTATTCATTCTTTTCATATCTGCTTCCAATTCCCGATGTAGTGTGTTCTTTGGTCTACCCTATTTTCCGTTTCCATTCAGGATTCCATGTTACCAACTGTCTCGTAATGTATTTTCATGATTTACAACATCTTTTCCTAATTTCCTCTTCAACTGAAAGTTGACTTTTTCTTTACCACAGTAGGCTGTTGATAATGGTATCCGACCAACAGATATTGAGTATCTTGAATAGATAATTGTTCATAAACACTTGTACCTTTTTGATGATGGTTGTAGTGTAGGGAATAGGAGGACAAGTGGGAATAATTGAATGTATTTGAGCATAAAATTATAGAATATCTCACTAAAATCTGACAACCATACAGTAAACAGATAATTTGCAAACTGTCAATCATTTGTCTCAAGCTTGACTGTTTCTTTTGCAAACATCAGTCCATCGTCTTTGATTTCATCGTTTATGCATTTTCATACCAATCGCATTTCTCTTACGTTCTTTCCTCGTCGATCTTCTACTGAAATACATTCTGTGCCTGTCCATCATCATATACTACTTATATAGATATAAGTAGACCACACTACAGTAGTAGTTCGCCATGATAGAACCACATATAAGGATGTGTTGATTCGCACATCACAAAACTGCCTGTCTATTCATGAATTTGATCAAAACATGATGTAACACATCAATTGATAAGAAGAAATTTTTCATTGAGGTACATCTTGAATATAAATTTCTTCATGACAAATGAGTATTTCTCATACTATTGCCTATCTATTATGTCATCTTTAATTACTTATGGAATAACAGACTGTCTCTTATTAGGCCTGAAAATTTGAAGGACTTTAAAACGATGTCGTTCGGGAATTCATTAATTAGGTGAATAATAACGGACTCTGTGTTTTGAATTTTACACAGAGATTATAAGTAATTACTAATTTCTTCTGGACGATTTATGGAATCATGGAAAGAAAACTCCTGGCTTTATAAAAACCACATATATAAACAAACCTTTGAACTGAACAGCTCATTTCTACAGAGAAAAGATCTTCTCATTTTTTGTTCAGATTGAAAACAATAGCTTCAACATTCAATCTTAAGTTTCATAGAATGGAATATCAGCAAACTTTACCTACAATTTCGGTGAAGTTTTGTTCTGTGAGTTGAATGGTTTGATCATGGAGCTTTCAACGTTATTCTGAACGATATCATCAATACAAACTTCAGGTAGAAGTGAAGTGTTAGAATTTCGGCATATATGGCTTACAACTTATCCTGTAGATCACAATCGTGATTGGTTATTGTCAACAACCATGCAATTGAGTCAACAATTTTACTTACTTACGCCTGTTAATCCCAATGGAGCATAGGCCACCGACCAGCATTCTTCAACCCATACTGTTCTCGGCCTTCCTTTCTAGTTCTATCCAATTATTGTTCATTTTTCTCATGTCTGCCTCCATATTCTTCGGTCTTCCTCTTCTCCTTTGGTCTTCAGGATTCCATGTGAGAGATTGCCTTGTGACGTAGTTGGGTGATTTTTTCAATGTGTGTCCTATAAACTTCCTGATTTCTTCCACCACTAGACTCTGGTTTGTTCTCTCCCACAGTAGAATGTTGTTGATGGTGTCTTGCCAACGAATCCGAAGTATTTTGCGTAGACAACTGCTAATAAACAATTGTCTCTTCTGGATGATAGCCTTCGTAGTTCTCCAAGTTTCCGCCAAATACAGTATAACTGTCTTGACATTTGTATTGAAAATTGTGTCTTTGGTGTTGGTTGACAATTGTTTTGAGTTCCAGATGTTCTTTAGTTGTAAATATGCTTTTCCGATCCGCGCCCTCACATCTGCATCAGACCCACCGTGTTCATCAATGATGCTGCCCAGATATGAAAAGGTTTCCATATCCTCCAATGCTTCTCCGTCAAAAGTAATTCGATGGGTGCATGTTGTATTGTATCGGAGAGTCTTGATTTTCCCTTTGAGTGTGTTGAGACCTACTGCTACTGAGGCTACTGCTACACTGGTCATCTTCTCCTGCATTTGTTGTTGCGTGTGTGATAGAAGACTCAGATCATCTGTGAAGTCTAAATCCTCCAGCTGCACCCTAGCTGTCCATTGTATACCGTGCTTCCCTCCAGATTTTGACGTCATGACGTCATTTTAGTGGAAGATTCTTAATTTAAAAGATTTCAAAATCTATTTTCATTTTCAAATAAGATCGGTGATTTATCACACCTTTATGTGAATCCGTTTTCATAGTTTGAGTCATGAACTGATCCTAGTTAGACTACCATTAAAAACCTAGAATCATTGAATATCTGTTTGGTTCTCGTATGAGATACCGCAAACTCCGCCTGTAGCCCCTTCCAGGAAGGACCAAAGAACATATTACGTCGAGAAATCGAGACAGACATAATATAATTAAAAAAGAATGCCTAGGACAGATTGGGTTGGAGAATGCTGGTTGGTGGCATATACTCCATTCGCGGGGGGGGGTAACATGTGTAAGTAAGTAAGTAATAGGATACCTCAGCAGCGATTGTCTACACCCCCTTCATCTTTGAATTGAACTATGGATTTTAATCGTACTCAAATCAGATCATGATTAAAACTATGAAAGTTTTACTCTCGCCACAAATCATCCACACCCACCTTACCCCCCCCCGTTACCATATTACATCATATATTTCCTTTTATTTTTTTCTATAACTCTCAGCATATCTTTTAAATCTTGGTGAATTAAAACAACGTCGTATTATATCATTATATAATTTGAATCGATTACAAATTAAAACATATTATGATATACAAAGAAAATGGTTATGTGAAATACATTCCTATGAATTACAATTACGTAATAATCAAAATCATATAACAATGAATAAATTAATAGAATCACAAATGAATGAACGTCAAATGGTATGTAAATTATTAAAACAATCTATTCAAAGTTATAAACAAATTCAATTAATATTAGAGGATATTTTAAAAAAAGATATAAATTATAATTATACTACTTATAAAACTACTAATAATAATGAATATCAAAAATCAACATTATTTATGGAACAATTAATGGAATCACCATATTATGTTAATGAAATGAATCATATAGAATCTATGCATTCATCATCAGCAAGTTCAACAACTTCTATGAATGGTAATAGTGGTAGTCAGGAATCAAATGAACAACAAACTAATTCAAATAATGTAAAAGCAAAAATTGTAGAAATACCAAGAGATTTACAAAATTCTATACAACAACAAAATGAATTAATGAATAAAGCTAAATCAACACAAAGTATTCATTCAACAATAAGTGTAAGTATTGTTTTTTCTTTCAAAGATTGATTAATATGTATTAAGCCTTTTGGATTATTTACTTAAGCCTGTTACCCTGCTACTCATTCCCTCTCCGATGAAGCATTGACCGTTGATAAGTAACCTTCAAATAACTGTGTTCTGGAGAATATATATATGATTTTGTATTTCATGTATAATAGATGAAAAGTTTTTGAAAGTTAAATATAATAAATATTTGGGTTACATCAACATAAACAGTTACCTAAGTAAAGATGGATAGTGGCTAGCAATGCAATACAAGATGCGCGTTTCGTCCTAATTGGAAATCGTCAGCTGGATGTACCTGCCACTGAGTAATAAGATGACAAGCCCAAAAAAGATAAATTGACTTGAAAATTTCATTGATTTCGACCATGAATTATTGGATTACTAAAAGTAGATAATAAAATATTCCTACAACATGCTGTTAATTAATGTATCTCTGTATTCTTTGTGTCCCGAACAGTTTGAGTATTAAGCACTAATGATACCACATTACTTATGAACTAAAACTTTAGCCACTTGTTTATACGAGTGTCCAAAAATATTTGAAATAGTAAACCACTTCTGAGAATTCTGATCTTAAACAATATGTGCTGAGAATTCTATATTGTACCAGATTATAATATTGAATAAAGCCATTAATAATAATAATAATCTCAACAGATCATCTGGTTTTCATACCTATGAGATTTTTAACGCTTGCAAAACAATTTGTTTCTAATTTTTTAACTACTGTTAATTTATAAGTAGTTAAAATTATATCAAAAAATATTTCGCTTAATTGTGTATTAAATTCAAGCTCAAGTTCAATTTTATTGATTTCAAGAAATTAAATGTAAAAATTCGTCAGTGAAAGTCACCGAGTAACGGGGTATATATGTACATAAATGTATATTATTCATCTGACTATAGTTAGCACATGTCCTATTAAAATTACTTTAAATTACTTAAGTCATAGTATAAAATTGTTTGTAAGTAAGGACAATTATTATGAGTTCACTGATACTGATGATTTACAAACATCTTATTCGTAATAGAATACTGACAAGCTGCTTTCCCATTTGGTTTCCTCCTGCCATATTCAAATATAATATTGTGTAATATTAGGATTTATGACTGATTAAAATCTCTTGTAAAGTATCTAAACTAAGTAATGCTGGTAAGTAGAGATGATGCTGTCTAGCAGTGGAATTCAGGACGCGCGTTCCATCTGGTCCGGGACTAGTCATTTGGACGTATCCACACCAACACTCGAACTCAGTACAGTTATTTTCAAACGTCATCGTGATTTTCACTTAGCTACTGAGTCCATTTGGTCACTAGATTGTGCGATGGGGCGAAGTTTAATTCATTTTTCTATTGCTTATTTGAATATTCTCATTGACGTCGAGGACTAAAAATGATTAGTGTCTTATTGACATATTTGAAATCTGTACAGATTGTCTCGACATTGTCTTAAATCATAAGCATTATAAGCACAAACCAGTGGCCATGTGGACTCTGTAACGTAGTAGTTAACGTGATGGCGTTTTAATCGAATTATGAGTCAACATCGACTTTGTGATGCAGGTAAATCCAACTGAGGAGTCTCAAAAAGGACGGAATGCGAGTCCCGTATTCCATTACTAGCCCGTATCCATCTCTACGTATAATACTTATGACTTAAGGCAATATCAAGGCAATCCGAACAGAATGCACATTTGCTAATATATGAAACTGATTAATTGCAATCCTAAATATTAATGAGAAGATTCAAACAGCGAATACAGAAACGGGATAAAAATAGTTATTTACATAATGATCTATAAGTACAACTGTTGGGGATGTCAAATCCCCAGAACTTACTTGGTAAATGGCTTAATCTTGTAGTTTTATTTTGAAAATTTGAATTTAGCTGTTTTCGCGCCAAAAGCGCTCTTTTTACCTTCACGTCATATTTCCCACCTGTAAACTAACTTAAACGCTATTGGTCCATTGTTTCTTTGTGTGTGCTATTTACCAATGATGCTCAAGGACAAATTGTTGTTGTATAAATGCGCTTGACTTTTTCCATTATTCGATTGCTTGTACTCGGCTGCTTACGGAATACATATATATTCCCCTACTTGCCTTGGACTTCTTCATCTAGTTAGCGGGGCCTGGGACAACAGATTAGAATAGCTTATCGTGTCATTGTGTCATTGGCTTTCGTTCGTTACCGCGGAATCGATTTAGTGTCAAGCATAACAATTGGCGACGGTGGTTTGGAAACATGGATCCTTTTAAACTCGAATCATTACTTGAACAGCAGCTGAAGCTTATACAAATGCTGACAGACATGAAAGTTTCGCCCCCTTCACAGCCTAGCACAGCTAATGCAACCACAGCACCATCAGTAGACGGCATCGCAAATAGTATTGCTGAGTTTCATTATGATCCTGATGCAAACGTTACTTTTGACATGTGGTTCCGGCGTTATGAAGACCTATTTAAATTTGATTTTGCTAATCAAGATGATGCTTGGAAGGTACGACTGCTACTTCGGAAGTTGGGTGCAAGTGAGCTGGACAGGTACTGCAATTTGATCCTGCCATTGAATCCACGTGATCGCTCTTTCGCAGACACAGTCCAGACACTAAGCCTACATTTTGGGGACAATTCATCATTGTTTAACACCCGTTACCGATGTTTGAAGCTGGTTATGAACGAAGACGATGACTTCCTTACGCATGTGGGCATCGTTAACCGTGAATGCGGACGGTTCCGGTTAAAGTCTTTATCTGAAGACCAGTTCAAAGCCCTTATCCTCAATTGCAGCCTTCAGTTCCAGAAGTTCAGTGACATAAGAACGCGACTACTATGTCGATTGGACCAAGATCCAAAACTCACACTAAATGACATGTCTAATGAATATCAACGCCTAGTAAATCTACAACGAGACACGTCGATGGTTGAGAGTGGTGGGTCTAGTCGATCGGAAGTACGAGTAATCCAAAAGACAACTAACCAAAATCAGTGCGCTCCCGCTGCATTCAGTCCAACTCATTTCAGCCCAATTTGACAGACCAGAACAAATCTCTCCACTCCTTGCTGGCATTGTGGTGCATGGCACTACGTAAGGAATTGCCCATTTAAGCAACATCGATGCAGGAAGTGCAAGGTTGTTGGCCACAAGGACGGGTTTCGCCTTAAGAGCACACCAAATCGATCCAGTAATACCAAAAAGACGGTTCCAAAGCCCTGTACCTCTTCTTTGAGCTTGGTATCTTCTTGTCAGAGTTCATCACCAGGTGAGAGGAAATTCATTAACATTAATATTAATGGACATTTTTTTAGATTGCAAATAGATACCGCATCAGACGTCACCATCCTCTCTCACAAAAATTGGATCAAAATGGGTAGCCCAAGCCTGCAGCGAACAACTAAAAAGCCTCGTACCGCATGTGGTAATTTCCTACACTTAGCAGGACAATTGGAATGTAAAGTGACCTTCCGGGAGTCGTCATTTACTGGGGTATGTCATATAACTCCAGCTGATCTAAATTTACTTGGTTTAGATTGGTTCGATCAACTGAAATTGGCTGATGTCCCACTAAATACCATATGCCACATGATATCACAACCTCATGGCACTGAATCGTATACCAGGAAGCTAATGGCGCAGTTTTCATCGATTTTCTTGCCTGATTTGGGACAGTGTTCTACCTTTAAAGCAACGCTTCGTTTGGAACCTGGAGCTAAGCCTGTCTTTCGTCCCAAAAGACCCGTGCCTTATGCGACGTTACCAACAGTAGATGAAGAATTAAACCGCCTCCAACAACAAGGAGTAATTACTCCCGTTTCTTACTCCGCCTGGGCAGCACCGATAGTGGTCATCAAGAAAGCAAACGGCACCTTACGAATATGTGCTGATTTTTCTACAGGTCTAAATGCAGCCCTCGAACAACACCACTATCCCTTACCAGTTCCGGCAGATTTGTTTACGATGCTGAATGGGGGAAAATTCTTCGCAAAACTGGATCTCGCTGATGCTTATTTGCAAGTTGAAGTAGACGAAGCATCTAGGGAGCTGCTTACTATCAACACTCACCGTGGGTTATTTCAGTACAACCGTTTACCATTCGGTGTCAAGACTGCACCATCTATTTTCCAACAATTAATGGATACTATCTTATCGGGCATCCTGGGAGTCGCGGCTTACCTTGACGACATTCTAATTGTTGCCGCAACGTTAGAACAGCTACATGAACGAACGACATCGGTACTGAAACGCATTAGTGAAAACGGGTTCCGGTTACGACCTGAGAAATGCCAGTTTTTATTACGGTCCGTAAAGTATTTGGGGTTTATTTTTGATGCTGACGGCCGCAGACCGGATCCTGTAAATGTCCAAGCGATAAGACAGATGCCCACACCCACGAATATCTCCGCACTGCGTTCCTTCATGGGACCGGTCTCTTACTATGCCGCGTTCGTCCCTTCAATGCATGACATTCGTGCCCCACTGAATGGCCTACTGAGCAAGAACAGTACGTGGAACTGGACTAAAGAGTGTGACGCAGCATTCTGTAAACTGAAGTCCATCATCAGCTCGAAATTGTTATTAACGCACTACGATCCATGCATGCTAATCATTGTAGCTGCAGATGCCTCAGCGTATGGCTTAGGAGCCGTCATTTCTCATCAGTTTCCAGACGCAACAGAGAAGGCTGTCATGCACGCATCCCGAACACTGACCCCGGCAGAAAGTAAGTATAGTCAGATAGAGAAGGAGGCTCTCGCCCTGGTGTTTGCGGTGCGGCGGTTCCACAAATTTTTGTACGGTCGGAGGTTCACACTCCTTACGGATCACAAGCCCCTTCTTGCAATTTTTGGTTCGAAATCTGGCGTCCCGGCCCACTCTGCAAACCGTCTCCAACGATGGGCTTTGATCCTCTTGGGGTATGATTTTGACATTCAGTATCGACGCACCAAACAATTTGGTCAAGCAGACGCAT